ACTAAGACTGTCTGAAGCCCAGATTCATCGACGGTTCTCGTCATTCATGATTGTCTGTTTTAATTGCCTTCTTTAGTCAAAGACAGTTAGTGTTTTTCTGTTCTCAACCCGAGTGGGCCAACTTCATCGGTCCTAAAGTAGGACCGAACGTACGATGGCATTATAAGCTTGGCCTGAGATTATGCACTGCCACAAATGACGCCAATAGGCGAACGCCATCCGAGCTTTAGGGATGCGAGTTAATACCTCTTCTCTCAGCTAACTTCAACTAAAGTAGCTACCAGTGTAAACAAATTGATTAAAAATTTTAATGTCAGTGTACCCCCAGCCTCAGGCCAGTATTTCGCCATTCGTTTCGCATCTGATCTCACTTAGGTGTGGCCCTTTTTACTGGTGGCTCCGACTAGAGGTGAAAGCCTACGGGAATTGTCACAGGCCTTCACTGGTTTCGTTTCGGAGACTCATTTCGCTTATGAGGTCTCAGTCCTCTTTCCGGAACCAGTTTAATTCAGTTTTGATTGCCTTATGAACTAATTTCTGCCCAGTGCTTATTGGAGGAATTTCCCAAAGGGCGTCGAGCAGTTCGCGGGAACATGCTGAAAACCAGTGGTTGCTGATGCGTTTTTCGAAGCCACATACTGTGATGACAGCCTTGGTCTTGCCTTATAGATTTACGCCTAATGAATACTGCAATAAGGCATCCACTTGAGAAGAAGTCTATCAATTCTGCTTTTTTGAAGGTTAGGATTCCTAGTCATGGAACAATCAGACGCAACGCAAAAATGTCCCAATTTATTGGTTGATTAAACTGAAAACTGACAAAACGCTGGAGCAAACCAGATTCTCTGTTTCCTCCAAACCTCACCAACTATGCAGCGTATTGTCAGAAGGAGAAATTTCATGATACCCGTCCCCAAAAGAGTCTATATATGCCACGCGGGAATCCGAGTTGCATCTGTTAACATCGACTATACTTATGATCCAGGTGCATGGTGGTGAGAGATATTATCTTCAAAGCATCATCAAGTTAATCTTTGATACGGTTCTGTAAATGCTCATTATCAGCGATACTGTTTTATCTGACGTATGGATGGAGCACATTTGCACTGAGCTTTTCTCAATTTTCGTGTTTCACTGTGTCTGTTGATCCTAAATGAAAACTATGGTCATAAGCATTTCCTATGGTCTCATTACTTGGATGAAGGATCTCTGGGATCATCAAACGAAGGCTTTCCACAGCTTAGTTGTACGTGAGGGAGGATACTTTGCGTTAGTGATTTTATTCATTATTGAATGGTGCATTTATTGGCTTCTGTGTGCCAATTATGTTGGCAATATTCTTGCTCACGCGACTTTCATGCGGGGCCGGTTCGTACAGATCGATTTACTCAACGGATTTGGTGTCGCCGCAGCAGTGCCGCATTGAAGCAATTTTGTTGTGAGATTTTCTACCGTGTTTTTTTCTAGTTAAATATGATCACTTGTTGATGATTTTTTATCTCGTATTTCCTTTTCACCACATCGTTTCTTCGATCTCCTACCCAGTCTTGGCGTCCAGTTATCACCAGTTTGACGCGCTTTATCCAGTCTCGACCGAATATTTTGTCTTCATTGCTTCATCGTTCCCCGGAGCATGTGGCGGAGTCATTGCAAGTGAACTCAGCTGTAGACATATCTTATTTGTCATTGGAAGCTTTAGCAGAGATGCACGTACGCTATGTGGAATATAACTGTACAGTGGCTGGCGCGATTCCAGTGGATGAACGTAAAGTGAGTTGACCGTGTCCTTCTTTTGACTATTTTTCTCATTTTAAGGCAGGAAATGAAAGCAGCGGACCATGGAACGAAATCACAGTTCCTTTGATACACGTAATCAATGTGCTATGTGTATACTCAAACAAACGCACGACTACAGTTTTATTATACACCAGTTGTATCTTTTGTCGGAGCTAAGCTCTTATTGGTTTGCACTAGATGTCGATACACATTTCATTTTTTGCTTGTTTTCCATTTGTTCCCTGCTGCATTTCAGAGTGTGTTTGTTACGTGGTCGGCTGAACGGGAATGCCCTTTGGAATTAGATCTAATTCAAGCTCAGCTAATATTGCTTTCTCATACTCACAATGATTTGCCGCATCAAACACCACCGGAAGTGGTGGAGCTACTCGACTCTATGCAATACACCAATTCTACTCAGCCAAATGAACGCAGCTGGTGGCTGCGTTTGCGTGATACATGGTTTGTTCGCCGGGATACGAACACAGACCCCGAGGAATTTCGTCTACCCAACCTCACTCCATTTATTACACAACTAACCGATTTTCAAGGACCCGGAACACTTCGTCAAATGAAGCTCAGTTTTGATGCATCCGAAAGAGAGAATCAACCACCACGACCGTGTCTTTCACCGGCGCTGCGTTGCGGTCTGATTCGTTCAAACCACGCACCGCTTGTTTCTGGAGGTCAGTAGTTTTATGCGCTCAGTTGTCACCTCTCTGTGCTTTCTTTCTAATGCACTAGACAAAGAAACTATGGTTCATTCAGTTTTGAAGTTAGTCGTTTCCCAGACGTTCTCCGAATAGCGATCACGTATCAACTCAACGTTGAATTTTTGTACCGAGTTGATGAAGATTTTTCTGGAGTTCGTCTATCCATTTTCCTTTGGTCAGTTTTGCACTTTTCATGTGTCAAACGCTTTGCGATTAAAATAGGCGTTCTGACAGGATATCCGTTCATTTGTAGCAATAGTAGTGGTAGCGTTGTGAAGTACTTTTCACATTTGTGAGTAATACGCAAAAGGATGCGATTGGCGGTTTCTTTCGACGGCCAAAAATGAACAAAACCTATTAGAGCGAATTGCCGTGTTCCAAATAATAACTATGGGCTGTTCCGTTCAGTACCCGGTGTGCTGCCGGGAATTGTGATGACCTATTCCAAATGAGACATCTTGTTATATGTACACCAAATTACCCACACCCTATCTGTGGTTCGTGGTAAACAATTCTCCTCAAGCAAGCGCTGGTCTTTTGAAGGCATAACATTAGTAGTATTACACCTTTGATTTTTCTGCGGCTGTTAAATAGGATCGAAAAGTTTGCTGTGTGGACTGATACATACTTGCATGTACTCTGTCAAAGCACCGAATAACCCCAGCATGGACGGTTAAACACAGCCTGCATGAGAATACGGTTGATTTGGATATGCCTGTACCTGATAGAGGTCAATATTTCATTCCAAACCAAGCGCCAAAACGCTTGCTAAGAAGGGCATATCATTGACAGTTTGAACACCGATTCACCAGTCATCGAAGAGGTGGCACTAGGGGAACATTTCAGAGTGCCATTTTCCCAGAGCGATTAAAAAATACTGAAAGAAAAACAGATGCGTATGCACATAGTGTTGGGGGAAATGATCATGAAGATTATTTGGAAAACGAGAAAATATGGAATTAGGCGATTAGTGTTTTGCTACAATGAGCCTGGATTAAAAGAACAAGAAGGCCGTTAACGGTCGATTTCAAATAAAAGGAAATATTATGAAAAGTGACTAACAATTATGTATACAGCTCATGGTTCCTTTCCTGAGTGGAGAAATCAGACACGCTTTAATCGCAATTTCTTTGTGGTGAAAAATAGATAGATCGAACCGTTAATCATGAGGACTTACCCTTCATTTGTTGAGGCCAATCCTGTTAATTGGAGTGGAAACCACCTAGTTGAATGAACGTGTTTCGATCTGAGCCCTCGGGTGAAGCTGACGGAATTCGAACCGCAGACTGCAGAGCCTAAGCATACCAAACAACTATATCGAGGTGAAACTGAGAACCGCGGAATATGTATGGTCAATTGAATTTAGTTACTATTTACTGAAATTGCACGTATGTATTAAACTGTTGCATACAAGATACTTAACATGTGTGGCCCCATTGGACTAAGGAATCTCCGGTTCAAATACCAAGGTTTTTTTCATCTTCTTCGAAACCCGACGACCCGTAGTTTCTTTTTGAAGCCCCTCGTCACTAAAGACGTTTCTCTCACGTTCCAGCACTGTGGCGTGTCACCCCCGGAGAGTTGATCGACGTGATAAAAAGGTCTCCAATTTACCTGCTAAACGGTGATACGGCCGGTCGGCTTTTACACGCCTGGGATGCTCTGAAACACGAGATTTCCTCGGATGAACGACAGTGCTTAGACACGCATTTATCACGTCTTCATGCCAGGGTTCGAACGACCACCCCGAAAGACGAAGTGAGTTTCCTTACGAAGATATTTCACTACTCTGAATCATATTCAATTCGCTTTCATCCATCTTGTCCCCCAGGTTGAATGTGTTCCGCATTCGAACGCGATTTGGCTTGATCCTTGCTGCATACATCTTACTTCTCTAAATGCTGTTTCTCATAAATTGTTTGCAAATCGCCTGCCGCATCGTGAATGTTATAGTGTTAATAACACAGCGATGTCGCTAGAGAATTATATTCGCCGACGTTTCGTTGACCGTGGGCAACCTTTCTCAAGGCAGGTTTTACAATCATCGTTTTTGCCGGTTGTTCCACCTCGCAAGTGTTTCGTTCCTGGTACAGCAAACGAAATTACACAGTCCGTGAATTTTTCTCCGGGCATTTTCTGCCTCGTTCACATTGGTTGTGTGTATATGCTGTTCAGTCATCATTTAGTCGATTGTGGTTTCCACGCGTATATCTTTCAAAACAGAAACAACAGAGGCGACTGGCGTGCCACGTTTGCTTTTGTGTGTGTGCACTTACACCCAGTTAGCGAGTTACAAATGAAATGAATGTTTCGGTCCGTCTTTTTATCTATTGATCATACAAATAAACAGTCAATTTTCAGGTAGGAAGCTGCAGTCATACAAATACTGTCGGTAGAAATAAGGGGAAATTAGTCGTTATATTGAACAGTCTATGTTAATTTCGAATAGAAACCAAACACATTGTATCGGTTAGTTTTTTCATAAACCGATCATTTCTGGTCGGACCTGTCGCACGAATTGTTGAAAATCAGCTTTACAAGCGGCAAGCCCAGCACCGGAGTGCCCTGCTTCGGCGAGGCTTGGAGATAAGCTTTTCGTTCATGAGCTCTTGGACGATGAAGGTCAATCGGTTTGAATTAGGGTACTGGCGTACTTTGGACCTTAAGGCCTGTCTTTTCCTTCTGTCATAAGACAGCCGTTTGGTTGAGCGCGCTCAACCTCCTGAGTATCGTTTGTGCAATTACACATTAAATAACGTTAAAAATGGAAAATGAAAGGTCTTGAATCCGGCCACCGCCGCTCAAATGTCATCTGGTGCGCAATACCGCACCTGCCCTCACTAATCCAAAGAATTAGAACCCCGGTTACCGTAGGAGTAGCGGGTTCTCGTAACTACGGGATCATCGTCCACTGCACTAGTGTGTCCTAAAATAAGAAGCCCAATGAGGCGCGTTGCGTGATTGTGTAATTTATACATGAAATACTCTGGCGCGTTTCGCTTTCATCTGAATAAATGATTATTTTTCCAAATTATGATTTCTGTTACATATGACCAGCCAATGGAACAACAGTTCACGGAGGAGCGCAGTTCAACTACAGAAACTCCCCAACCAGTATCAATGGACGCAACCATAGAGGAAATTAGTTCCGATGATAATGACGAGGTGAAACTTGAAGGTATGGATTGGGTCGATTCGATGAGCACGTTAGAACCGCTGACCGATTGCAAGAGAGCTGGAATCATCTGCCGACTTGTCCAACAGCTTACCACGGATGAGAAAAAATGCCTAACTTGGCTGGAGAATTTAACAACAGTAGGTTCTTTTTTACCTCTGGTGTCCTAGCTTTTATATGTCTGTCTCAATTTGGATTTTTACTGGCGCTAGTCGCCTATCCCAACCACCACAGTGTGAACCCGTCGATCCAACTGAAGATCGAAATCAACATCACACACACACATTCCCCCCCGGGCAACTGAATAGACTATTTCTTTTTTGTCGGATGGGAATCGAACGGGTAGAAACCGGTGTACATTGTCTTTTTAGCTTCTCAGTACACGTTCACTTAGTTTCGTTTATGAAGAAATTAATCATATATATATATATATATATTCGTCACAATAACCTCACTCGTAACAGCGGGTAAATTTGTTTGGACAGCTCCTTTCGAACCAGTCCATTGGTGAATCAACACTATGATTCGATGTATTTGTGAATGGGTTAGATGCTACTAGCCGTAACAAACGCCACCAAAGCATCCTCCATGGGATATTTTGCAATAAATAGTACAATTTCCGACCCTTTTAGCCGTCCGGTGTATCTCGCAACAAGCGCTGTTGTTGCTGCTTTCACTCGATCCTTGAAAGCTGTTCATCGCTCGATATCTCTGTGCTTGTGTTGTCCTAACATCCATCATCTTCATAGTCAGCCTCGAATTGTATGCTGGACTGTAGCTGTCACCCTGTTTCGGATTGTCTAGAACACCGTCATTGGTGTTATTCCCATGCGTTTAGCCTGAATATCTCGCTGTCGTTACTCTTTTCTTTTTCATATTCGTTGCTTTATGCCTCTGTTCATCACGTTTCATTACGCCAAATTTCGCTTCGTTCAGTCATTTGATCTACATTTTAGTCTGAGCTTGTTTTAATGCTTGAACTTCCTGTTATCGCACAAACAGATCCACAACTGTCCCATCGGAATATCATGATACATTTCTTGTAATGAAACCAATTAATCCAAATTGTTGGAGCCAAAGGCTAAATATATGCAATATTTACGATTCACGAGTGCGATAAACAATCCTTTTGAGTTTCATCAATTTTATCAATCTTAAATAAGGAAGGTATTCTAACACACACACATATGTATATGTATATATGTACGGTCGAAACTCAATTGTATGATTAATCTTCAGAAAGAGTACCATACAAAATTGAAGAACGGTTTGATATGCACAAATTTCAATGCTAGTGACGGGGTTCGAACACGCAACATATGAGATTTTAAGCCAACCGACCTTTATCGCTAGACTATCTCCTTTGTCCGGTATTCATTGTTTAAGATCATAATATTGTATTGATAGATGACATTTTTAATAATAATGTATTGTTTTGATAAACGATTGTGCAGGAACTTTCTACTATCTCACGTGATGCTTTGGGCTCACCGAGAACTGGTCGTTCACGGTCCCGAACGTCACGTAGTATATCTCAGTCGGCTTTCGTTCGCATCGCTGGTTCCAGTCCTCCGTTATGTCGTGCTCTGCGACCCCTTGTGTCTATCTGTCTTCAACGAGTAAGTTTTTAACTTTCTATCACTGAGTAAATCTGTCCTATCCAATGGAGCTTGCCCTCCCGTCGGATTATTTCTCTCTCACTCACTCTTTCACTGTTTCTCTCTCCCTCTCGTCATTCAGTCTCCGGAAGCTTTGCAAAAGCTTTACTGCACACTGCGGGATATTTCCGCCCATTCTCCAGAGGCCAAATGTATCATGGAGAATCTGTTACCTGTTTCACCCTCTTCTGACACAGAACTGGCAAAAACGAACACACCGAACTCTACTGTGATGGAACAGTAAGTAATGTTCAATTTCCATAAATTGTCTGACGTTTCTAGTTTTAAATCGATTTACCTTTTATCTCACAAAACCGTAAAGATGCCCATTGCACCGCGAATGTTTCATTTGTTTACATCTAACCTTCGTATGCTTTGACACTTTGTATCTAGTTCAGCTCCGTTTATGGCTTTATGTAAATCTTGTTCAACTTTGATCCATTCCATTTTGCACCGGAATCGCAGATCCAACCGTGTGTCGGTCGATAATATTGGTCAATTCGGTCTGGTTGAGTTGTTGCGTCTTAATAATTTATCTCAGCTGGTCAGTAGTGCATCATCTACCGTCTCAGATCTGGACCCGGATACGAATCACTTGCTCCTTACGATTGAGCGTATTGTGTTCCATCGAGCAGGGAATACGTTTCCCGCTGTCCAGTTGTCTCCCACGTACTTGGAACCTGATGGTGCTTATCTGCTGCGATGTCTTTTGCAGCAAGCCAATCCGAACATCTTGTGGCATCTTCTCCGCTCAATGTTGAACAATAAGAATTTGGAGTGTATCGAGTGAGTCCGTTTGTCCTTAATTTTTTTCACTTCTTTAAACGAGCAGTGCGCGCACTCTATTTCACATTCCCAGTCAATGACTAACTACTCAAGGTTTCCAGTAGTCAAATGCGAATGAATTAAAAATCATTTCGTTCACATCATGTATGCTGCAATTCGTTTTTCTCTTTCTTTCTTTCTCTCGATTACTCAGGAACCGTCAGTACTTGAATGAATCACACAATGAATGATCGACGAAGGCGTCGCATCATGCTAGTAATATTTTGTAAAGGTGGTGCTATTTGAAATTGAAATTGTGTTGACTTCTGTGACAACGGAAATCTGATCACCCGAAATACCTGTTTCAATTCACTGGTCCTGTTATCCCACAAAGATTTTTTTCATGGAGAAAGGGAGTAGTTTGGGGCCATTATCGCCCATTGTTCGTCTGCTTATTCGAAAAAAAATCGTGTAATTCTGCACATTTTGTGGGCCCATGCTGCATACCAATGAGACTGTCGTTTATTAGCTCAATTATAATATAATCAATCCATGATTTGTTTCCAGGCTGCCATACCCAAAGGTTTCCTGAGCAGAAGAAGATAACTTTTTGGGTATCATCATTTAGAGTGTTCCAGTAGCCTATGCATTGGAGTAGTGTTTAAAGACTACCAATCAGATGGATCTTACTTCTTTTAGACGCGATTCGCATCTCCCGGGTTCCAAATACAATGTGGCAAGTAGATTTACACGATATGATTAGCACTGATCAGATTTCGAGATTAGTGTGCTATAAACTGTGCAGTATGCTTATGATACTAGTTTATAAGTCACTGCGCTTATGAACATCGACTTGCGCTCGGGGATACATTTCTTCCGGTACGGAACAAGAAGGACCCTCAATATGTACCGTTAAGGGTTGCTTACGAACTGCACGTTGCACTCTTAATCACAGCAGGGGGTCTTTCAGCACTTTTTAACTACAACTCGAAGCTCTTGAACTGTGTTGTTTAGCTCTGAAGCTACGGGCAAACCTATAGAGTGTTTTGTCTTTTTCTTCCTTGATGTAATATTTCTCTCTCTCTCTCTCTCCATCCCTTTCTATCGCCCTATGTGAAACCAGGTCGACGCAGCTTTTGGATTTCTTTATTGCAGTGCTCACCTTACCACGTTTTGCCTATCCAGTACCCCGCTCCGAGCCTCGGGATCGTCCAGATCCGACTGTAGCTCTCACGGAATTACATCAGCTTACTTTGTACGAGGCGATCAGTTTGATTCTGCACATTCTGCACGAAGCCTACCAGATCGCATCCGAATCGCATGGACGAGTGGTNTGGTTCAGGTACGTGCCTTCCGTATTAGGACTCTTGTCTAATGAAGTTCGTCAGCTACGAAAATGGGTCAGGGAATTTGTACGAATAGTCTCATATCTTGATTATGAACTAGCCCTGGAGACACGTTATCTTGACGACATGATTTCTTTTTCTTGCTAAAACCTGTCATTTTCGGAAACCGATTCAGTCAACCTGGGCAAAGACCTTCCGGGAAACTTCAAATTTTGCAATCAAAATCTTTTGTTTCAGCATTTTTGTTGTGACTGAGCCAAATGCTATCACGTTATCATCGAAGCACCTTCTCATATTTCGTATCCTCAAAATTCCCTTCAAAGTTAAGGTTGTTTATCGATCGGAGGAAATGCTTGTTTATTTCCGTCATCTCCCTTCGTGCGTGTTATTTGAGTAATGGACTTTTTACACAACTACAAACGATAGCTCAATAACTCGTAATAACCCCTAAGTCTAATCGGACTGATTCTTCCTAGGCGTTTCCCTATCTTCACTCTAAACACCTTTTGAATACCTGCTCAATTGTACTTCTCTACGCTGATCGATTGCGAATCATCAAATTGAGCAAACCGTTTTGTTGATTAAGAAGACGAAAAAATATTTGTTTATCAGTATCTAACCATAATTGTTTAGATATATCCATTAGATCAGGACTAAAATTCTATTCTATCCAGGTATTTCCACAGAAAACCGTCTATGAATATTAGTGATTCTATAACCGATTTTCTCTAACAATGATTTTGATCTTTTGGTTTGATTGTGCCAATGCCTGAGTCGGTGCTCATCTGTTCCTTTCCCGTTTTTTATCACGATGAATCCCATCCTCCATGATGATGCATCTAGGTCATCGATTCAACCACATCGCGACGTGCTATATGCCTAAACGTGTCCGTCACGCAGCATCCCGCCCAGTGTGTTCTTTGCTTGGAATTACTTTCCGGTTGTCTCTCCGCAGACGAGGCCAAGCACGTCGACCCGGATTTGACCTCCATTCTGTCCGAACAGATCTCTGTTGAGCCGCGATCTACCGCTCTGTGGAACTTGACTGCACTGCGTCTGTTCATACTGCTTTATCAGCGATGGCCTGGCACAATCGGGTTGATTCGATCGCCGCTCACTCGTGCTTGGATTACTCAGCCCTGGCGACTTCGAAAGCTGGTCCACTGTCACCCGTGGCTGAAGACGATCACTGAGCAATGTGAATACCCCTTCGAGGATGTGGACCTTATACGGCAGCCTGAGGTAAGTGTGTTCTGTGATCATTTGTGAAGCGTATATCGGTTCTTGTACATCTTATGAACTTGATTCTTATTTCGAAACGTGAAGTTTGAACTGGTCGATTCGTTTGCAATATTCGTGTCACTCCGAGGTGCGCGTCTTAAATTTTATTCTACACTTCTATTTGTTTATATTACTTGTTTTTTAGATTGATCGTCTAGGACCCTTATTATTGGTCAGTTTAATTTCGAGTGACCCTAGACTGAGTGAATCGGCACAATTAGCCTGCAAATCCCTGTTCGTGCATCATCCTCGTGCTGTGATACGCCTTCTCCCGGTTTTGGCTGCTCTAAGTGACGGTCGTCTTGATCTCAGCTGGATACAATTCTCCAATCGTCGTTATCACCTGTTGTTCGCTGATTTGCTTCATCTACTTGAGCTTTTGGCCCCGTTCGGAACAAACGGGGAAGGAATAGAGAATGATCGGCTGAATGATCCCGATGTGGATGGAATTACCCTGTCGGGATCGGCGTTGTTCAGCGAACAGGCTGCTTCGCATCGGTAAGTTTTATATACATCATGTTGGTCTCTATCCTCCCAGCTGATATCACGGAATTGTGGGTTAGCTTTATTTCTGTCTCAATGGATATTTTGTCCACTACTGTGGTTGTCTGCAATAAAGGCCACTCTTCTACTTGTCAATCCGTTTGCCGAGTATACAGAAAATGACTATCTAGTGATGTGCCAGTACAATACGAAACCGCAATCGATCCATTATTATCAGTTTCTAGGTTTGTACTCAGAAGTTTTTCCTGTGTATCAGTTTACCATTGATATGTTTGGTCGAAACATATGATATGGGAAAAATTTTAAGTACATTGTGCGTATACATCTTTTGATCTGAACCGGAAGGAAAACCGTTTGTGAGCGCATTGGAAAATTTCTCTGCAGTAACCCAGGTCATTCATTACAGTGTTACTTCTAATTGGAAGGTTTTGCGATTACGGGTACAATGGTGTGGATTGAAAGAATACCACATAATAGGGCTTTTTGTTGGAGCACCTGTTTTTATTGGTTTGTACTGTCGGTCACAATGCATAGATTATCTTTAACCATGAGGTTTGCTAGATCAGTCGTTTCTGCGTGAGATTGTATCGCTAAATGATGCAGCTTTAAAATGGTTTTGCCTTTTTCATGGGTCTTACAATTTTGTCTGAGCAGTTTTCGTCACCTTCGATAATAGTCTATTTTCGATTACTTTCGAACCGTTTTGAATATGGTCCCACCGCAAACAAACCTAGTTATTAACACGCTTAACTCCCCCTCCACTCCCTCCTTAATCCGTCCCCACCCAGAGCGGCTGTCGAGCGTCTGCTGGTCAACATGATTCGTATGCTTGTTCGGTTCCGCCAGCAATCGAGGAAACTAGGTGGATTCTCAACTCGGATTGGTCGTTTGTTGGAGTCCTGTGCTAATCATGTATTGGGTCGTCAAATCTTGAGCAACATCTTGAAAAGTCTGCCCAAAGAATTAGAAATTCTGATGGCTGAATTTGATGAGTTCTCTTCCCTTCTGACACTCATCAACTCTTCAAGAGAGGAAAACGAAAGAACGATTGTGAGTGATACGTGTCCAGCGTTCTTGTTCCCGAGCTCTGCCTTCCATGCGAGTCGTACAACACGACGTTGGAATGTGGCTGTGCAGCCATTCCGACAAAGACTCCATTCTGCCAGTAGTGTCCAGGGTGAGTTTGATTGCCCCCCCCTCCTATAGACCATACACTTTTGTACCTTGCTCAAAATGCATCAGCTTTATTCGTGACATTTTCCCTTGCAGCGACCACGGAATTGCTGGAAGATCTGGATGAAACCTCAAAACGTAGAGTGGAAGTACTCCTACATTTCAAGGTAATGTCGCCGGGTTTACTAAGCTCTGTTGCACCGCTCTTGAGTTCTGTCTATCGTAAACGTTTTTCGATCCCGATTGCATATTTCTCCTGCCATGCATGCTTTTATAGTAATATCGTCGATGTATTTTCTGTAGAGGTGTGTTTTGCAAATGTCATCTCTTGGTTTATTCTAAATGCTCGGCATAGTGCTAGGTCCGTGTCAGGTTGCTCCGGCCACACCTTCAGTCTGACGAAAATGAATGCCCGGTGGTAACGTCACCGAGTTGTCCCTCTGAAGGACGTGTATTTGTATCCCACCACCACCACCTGGCTTTCCCCATTATTTGTTGTATGACGGCCATTTATTTGGCTCCTTCCTCGTTCCTAAAAATTGCATCTTCGTATATTCACTAAAACAAAATAAGAATG